GGCGCCAAAACCGCATAAAACGAGTGTGCCATGAAATACGTAATGTAATGCGTGTTGTAAAGATCTCGAGTAATAACAAAAGAAGCAGAAAACCTTACAGCTGCATGAGTCGTGACTGTCACGTTAGCCTGATGGGACCAAACTCTCTTTGTGATTTTAAAACGTAAGACAGTACCAAGATTTGACGACTACAGTAAGATTTAACTTCTACTGTTAATAAGATTTTGGTAGGCTACTATTAGATGGATAGCCTAAATGTCCTCATTCAGATGGGCTACCTGTTTTTTTTTTATTTTTATGGTATATCAAAAAGTGTTTATTTTTTAAATGTGATTGTTGGTACATTTTACCAGTTTTTACCATACTTTCACACAAAAATATGCAATATGAAAATAATTGAAGACAAAATGTGTTTTACTGAGAAAAAACAAGATTTGGTTTTTAAAAAGCCTTTTTCCAAAAGGTACATCTGGAAAAAAGGGGGGTCGTCTTATAATCAGGGTCGTCTTATATTCGGGCCAATACGGTAAGTGCACGGCTGCAATGGGGCCCACTTGTGGTTCGATACACAACTTACGTACTTTGCGTATAGGGAGGACTGGCACTGTTAAAGTGTGGCCAGTAACTGTTTATTCTCTGTGCAATCAGTCCTCCAGACTAAAATGATGCAGAGAGTGGTGAGTGTGACTAGTAAGTGCTCTAGCTGCTGCGCTAAACTGGTGTTAACTTGTATTTCTCTTTTCTTTTCTTTTTTTACCTCAGACCTGATGGCACTGAAAGAGGAGAGCCAAGAACTGAATGAAACAGAAGAGAAAGATCAAAATGAGAAACATGATTTCAAAACTGAAGAAAAATCGATTAGTTGCTCACAGACGTCCTCACCAGAAAAAGCTCAAAAAACACAAAACGCACACCTTAATTCCCACATGAGAACGCGCACTGGAGAGAGACCTTTCACCTGCCAACAGTGTGGAGAAATTTTCATTCGAAAAGAAAGCCTTGAAGTCCACATGACAATTCACATGGAAAAGAAGCCATTAATATGCCCTCAGTGTGGAAAATGTTTTACACGGAAAAATCACCTTAATGCCCACATAAGAATTCACACTGGAGAGAAACCTTTCACCTGCGAACTGTGTGGAAAGTGTTTTACACATAAAAAACAACTTAATCCCCACATGAAAATTCACACGGGAGAGAAGCCTTTCCCCTGCAAACTGTGTGGGAAGAGCTACAGACATAATGTAAACCTTAATAATCACATGAAGATTCACTCGAGAGACATTTTTAACTGTCATCAGTGTGAAAGGAGTTTCACAGACGTGAATCACCTCGAGAATCATGTAATAACTCACACCAGAGGAGAGTCTTTCATGTGCCATCACTGTGGAAAGAGTTTCTCAAGAAAAGATATCCTCAATATTCACATGAGAATCCACACTGGAGAGAAACCTTTCACCTGCCAACAGTGTGGAAAGAGCTTCACTGTTAAAGTAAACCTTATAACTCACACGAGGATTCACACTGGAGAGAAGCCTTACAAGTGTCCTCAGTGTGAGAAGAGTTTCACATATAAAAGCAGCATGAAACTTCATTTGCAAACTCATTCTCGGAAGAAACCACCATTTTCCTGAGAGTGACGAGGTTTAGAAAAAGGAGTGATTTCTACAATCATCTGTGCATTCATTCTGGAAGACAATTCAATTGTGATACAAGTCGTAGCAATATGACATTAAAGTTAAGATATTTTGAGAATAAAGTCGTAGCAAAGCCAGTATATTGCATGAAAAATGTTAATTAATGTGAAACTACACTGCAAAAAATGTGGCGTCCATCCTTTCATTTTTCACATGTATTAAAAACAGCAATAAAACGTTCTAAAGGTTGAAGTGGGCTCCGGCTCATGAACGTAAGCAATGTTGTCTTTTCTGAGGTAAATAACGTTAAGTGACTATTCACAAGATGTTTTATTCACGGTATAATAATTGATTGGAAATAATTTCTCACCCACTATCCCATAGCACTATCGATGCATGCCTGATTTTTATTTCATTTTGTTAATATTGTTAGTCTATAGACTTATATTTACTTTGTGAATTATAATATTGTCCAAATACCATGAGAATAAGTTATCAAATCATAAGAATAAATCACAAAATTAAAGATGAAGTAAACCGAAAAAGTTAAATTAACCATGTTATATTTGTCTACGTGTTCTTTGTAACATGTGAACCAAAAACATGTACAAAGATTGTTGTGTTGCAGACAGCATGGTTCATTTCAGTTATGAAATTGACATATAGTTACTCCATCTTTTTGTCTTAAGGGGTGGTCACACTGCACCTTTCGTTACATTGACTTCCATTCATACGCATGTGAATGCGTCGGACCGGAAACGCAAGCCCGTGCGAAAAGTTTTGCATTTCAAGCTTGGTGAACTCTGACCTGTGAATTTGCATCGCGTGAAACCGTGTGACCAACAGCAGATCAATACGTCACAGCATGACCCAGTAGCTGAATTATAATTGAAATTTCGCATGCTCAAAGTCTAGTGTGACCGCGGCTTCAGTTGTCTGTGGCAGGGCTACACTTAACCTCCTGAGACCCTGTGTCCTCATTTGAGGACATTATATTTTCGTGAATTTCTCTGAGACTATACATGCCACCGTTTTAAATCAGGATGTCCTGTACAGACCACATTCATGGCTTTTCAGAGATACCAAATGTTTGGATGTTTCACCGTGACCACTCCCTCTCCTTGGTCTTCAAATATGGCTGGCATTAATTTAGTGATAAATTTGTACATCCTTATGGAAATATGGTAATATTTTGTAATTATCATTTAAATCTGTTTGTCATAAATCAACATCTCAGGAAAATGTTATAGGGTTTGAAATCAAAATATGACTTCGTTACCAAACAGGACTTTGATTTCATACATGTCCTCACTTGAGGACACCGGGACTAAATGTCGCTGATTTATTTCGCATTTTGGGAGACACAACAAATGAATAGGGAAAGAAAATATATTTCAATATTCCTATGTATATATTATTCCTATGTAAATGTTATATATTTTTATGAAAATCTTGTCAATTATTACTCCCGTTATTACACTTCTTTTTTCATTACATGTTGCCCCAAAAACACATTCATATGCAAATTAGATACAGTTTATAGATACATTGTATATAACGGCAAAACTTGTTTATGTCCATTTTACACATATTTTGTATAAAGAAAAATGGTATATCAAATCATTCTGTTCTAACAGTTGAGAATCACCTCTATACAAAGTTTGGTATAAAAAAATCCTGAAACCTAAAAATGTAGAAAAAGTTCTTTAAAACTTGTATTTTACAAGTCAAAAGAAAAAAAATTAATAGCCATACTATGGACTTTTGTAAATGCTGTGATACTGTGATTTCACCTGAACAGTTTATGTCTTTGTATATGGTATCACTGTAATCCTTGACCATCAAAACATAGGGGTAGACATCACCTATTCTGTGTTACCATGTTTGGTTCAGGAGATATGACACAAAATACATAATTTGGTTATGGCGGAAAGTACAATGGTTGCCATGGCAACCACGAGGTGTTTTTGCGATGGCTCCATTTCTGAAAATGTTCAGGGCCCTGACCTGTACAACTGCACCAAGTTTCATGCTTTTATGAAAAAGCGAACACATTACCTCAAATTTTGCACATATCACCTGGACTATAAGGGGTTTCTTAGCTTAAGGGCTTTCATGCAACTGGCCTCAACATTCCAAGTACCCTGGGACAAGACCAAACCAAGTCTAAGAACTTGCCTTGAACTCAGAAGAGACAGACAGGCAGCACATGGTCAGAGTGACTGTTGATGCAATGAGGGAAATCTGTTTAAATCCTACTTCGAGTCAGTGTGCTAAAAATGCAAAGAGCACTGTTGAACAATATCCAGACTGTTTTGAAGACGGAACTGATCAGGGAGATCGAATGGGCTGTGGACACTTCACTTTGTGTTCACAATTGAAGACAAAATTAGACAACCTGAACAAGAACAACACCCTTGCACCTAGAGGTCTACACGGGTCCGAAAATTCGTACCCGAACCCGAAGAGACCCGTAAATGTGCTACACTGAACCGAGCCGGACCCGTCTATTATTTTGAAAGTTGGACCCGGGCCCGTGCAGAACCGAGAAATGTCAAAAATGTACAACCCGGAACTGACGCGGACCGTCAATTATTTGAAAGATGGACCCGAACCCGGCCGGGAAGACACAGACCCGACTGGACCCGATCGGCACATATTCCACAGCAAATTGCTATTAACAAGTCGATAAACAAGTTGCGAAAATTAAACTTTTTGTCTAACCTAATGTAAGAAGCCTTCTCCCTTGTAATCCGCTCATTATTCCAGTTTCAAAAGTCCACTTGCTGTCACGGTGACGGATGACAAATGCGACTTTGCAGTTTTGCATTTTTTGTATCTCGAGTCAACTTGCATAATAATTTAGACTGTTTGCCCATTTGGATTATAATAACGATTGCTCGTCCAGTGCCATGGCTGCTGACGTTAGCTTTACTTATTTGCTATCATCTCTGTGCTCTCTGAGCCGAGTCTGAGCAAAAATTTTAGATATAACAACAAGACGGTTCATTCATAATATTATTTAAAAAATTGGAGAAACTGCAAAGCGCGGTATGGCAGAATAAGTCCCGCCTTCTAAATAAAAAAGCCAATTGTCAAAGGTAAAGTCACTGCATCACTGCAGAAGCTCTGGTAGCCATAGCTACCTGGAGCAACCAAATATAAACGTTTTAACGCAATTTTTGAGCGTCATAGAAAACATTTATGCGACAGTTCATCTAAGATTTTGTTGCTGTTTTGAAATATTTTATTTAAATGTGAGTGTGCAAGTCTGCAAGCAGTTTTTGAGATTCCAAGTTTGTTTGCATTTATTGTTGCACACAATAAGAACATGAACTCGAAATTACACTTACATAAATCAATAATTACTGCCAAGAATAGAGTCCAAGAAAAACAAAATAAAATATAGAAATACTATATCAGAAAATAATGATCTGATTCCCAGCTGTACACAAAACCATGCATGTCAACAAAGAAGCATTTAATGATGGCTATCTTAACTTAATTAAACAAACACAAAATACCATCTTGAAGTAAACCGAGTGCTGCTTTTAGGTGTAACATAGGCTATAAAACCTTGCCTGCAAAAAAAACCTTAGCAACCATAGATCTTTTTCAGCTAGTAAAACATTCAATTGCCCTTGCAAGTCATTTGCTAATATATAGCATATCCTAATTCTATTTCAACATATATGTTCTCGAAGCCTTGCCCTAGGTAGGAGCTTATGAAAAAAGAAATAATGGGTAGGAAAAAATAGAAATCAAATATTAAATGCTAAACATGCAGTCAGTGCAAAAAAACAAAAACAAAAAAACCTTCAGCTCTCGAAGCCGTGTGTAATAACGTGGTGCTTAGAGGTGTAGTAGGGCTGCTTTCATTTTCATGTTGACATGTTGCTGTTCAGAAACAGCAAAGCATTTACACTAGCAGTGCTGACCAGAGATGCTGAAGGCCGACTCACAACTCACACTGGATGCAGGTACACAAAGTCTTTTTCTTGCCAGTCGTGCCATTGATGGAAACATATTTTGGTTGTGTTTCCAAAAACTCAGGATGTCGCTAACTTTCAAGCAGAATGGACTGAATGTCTTCAGATGCATTAAGCACAGATTTGACCATCTCCAGTTTAATATTCCATCTTGTTTCAAAGATTGCTTGAGTCGAAGTTGTAATCCAGAGTGTTTAAAAAAATGTGGTCAGGGTCTTGCATTGCTCTATGCAGCTTCTTACTTGTTGCAGTTCTTCCTCATCTCCATCATCCTCGTCATCACCTTCCTTAGACTTCTTGAAGGTGTGCTTCAGCACTGTATTCAGTACGTGTGCTATACAGCTTTTGTGCACCCATCGGGAGAGCGCTGCCTGCACATTTGCACCTTGGTCACTGACAAACACCAGTCTGTCTATCTCATCTGGGGTCAGACCAAATTCACCCAGTTGCTTGAGCAGTTCTGTCTTCAGTTTTAAGGCCGTTTTCTTTGCCCCGAGTGGAAATGCACATGTACATATGACCCTAGTATTAAACTCCCAGTCATCATCTATATAATGCAGTGTGATACAGGTGTAACTGACCTTCCTATGGTCATCTGTCCACATGTCTGTGGATGCTCTGCATGCCAGTCCCTCAGCTATGGCTTTCCTAACTGTTAGCAGGAGCTCTGCCCTGAGACTTTCATATTTCTTCTGTGTGAAACGAGATACCATCACACCAGATGGAAGTAAGTCCTTCACATTACACCAGCCATGTGTTGCTCCCGTGTCTAATATTGTCTGCGCCAACTCGTTGAACGCGGGTGTTTCAAACATGCTAAAGGCCAGGGTTGGGCAAAGATACATCAAAATGTATTTTAAAATAAAATACCAAATACCTTCATTTTAAGTGTATCAAAATAAACTACAAAATACAGCAGCCACACCATGTATCAAAATAAACTACTGTATTTTTGTATTTTAAAAATACTAAAAAATACTTTTACAAGGGAGCATGAAATTTCTTCACAAACCTTCCATCAATTGGCCTATTTGATCTATCCCTTCACCATTGCACTGACTCAGATGATTAAGTAAACAATGTTTGATAGCAACAGCTTTTCTCTGCCCGAGTCATGCAATAAATCTGACATATGCAACCAGTTAACAGATCAAATATTCACATATCCCTGTGATCTCCCAGATGAAGGTTAGTTTTAA